TCAATTGGTGTCCCATCTATTCCTGGGGCCTTATTTTTTGTTATTTCCTTTAAAGCAGCTTGAACTTCTTCCTTCATCACCATAGACTCTTGCTCAAATGTTATTTCATTAAATTCTTCTGTATCTGCCAATTCCTTTCGATACAATGACTCAGTATATTCCTTCCATCTTTTTTTTTTTAATACTTCCTGGATCATTTAATATCCTGCCTAAAGCATCCTTGATTATTTTCATACTTTGGACATGTTGCAAGAAGAGTCTGTTGCTTGAAGAAGGACATCATACTTGCAGACTTGGAGGGTCAGCGAAAGAGGAAGGTCCCCAGTGAGATGGATTAACACAGTGATTGCAGCAGAGGGCTCACATGTATCATATGTTGGGGATTGCACAGCATAGAAAAGGGTCTGTTGTTGAGGTCTCTTGTTCATAGGGTTGCTATAAGTGGCACTCAACTAGACAGCACCTAACAACAACAGTTTTCTTCTGGTGAGGACCCCTGGTGGTACGGTGTTAAGTGGTTCAAACGAAACAGCCTCTCCCTGGGAGATAAAATGTGGCAGCCTGCTTCTATGAAAACTACAGTTTCGGAAACCATACTGGATATACCATAAAGATAGATGAAAGTACGGAAGAGACGTGGAAGATAGATCTAGAAGTTCAAGCTGTTGTCTAATAGGAATTTTAGAAAGAGAGAATGTAGGAGAAGCCATGTTTTAAGTGTTAGTGGCTTGAGAATTTCCCACAATTTTAAGAGAGATCTATTTTAAAGAGAAGTTAAACTTCAACACACTAATGCTAATAGAAAATACTACATGCTCTTAAGGAGGAAAACAAAATATCTACAACAGAATGATTATAATTGTAATGCTGGCTATAGTAAGAAAATGAGGCTATAATACAATATAATAATAATATAATAAAAGTCCTCAGAAAAAATAATTTGTCAGTCTAGCACTTTAATGCCCTATTTTCACTATTTAAGATTAAAAGGGAACCCCCCAAAAAACCGCAAAACACCCCACTTCAGAGATAGAACTCCAAGTTTCACAATGTTGAGCCCTTTCTGAAAGAACTTGGAAAGAATATACTCCAAGAAGGACAGATGAACTTTAAAATCAGCTGTCAAAAATAATATTAAACAAAGAAATCAGCCAAATGAATTTGAATAAATACCTGGAAATAATACTGGAAATAGTATGTTTAAGTTTGTTTTCAAATCATGGTATAACTAACCCTAGAAGATGGTAAGGGAGCTCTGGTGGTATGGTCCATAAGGGAGTTGGGCCGATAACCCAAAGATGATGCTTTTCTGACAGCTCAGAACCCCCAGGGACTGCGCAGGAGGAAAATGGGACTCTCCTCCAGGTGCAATTTCCAGCCTCCAGAAACCTGCTGGAGGATTCTGCTTGTTTTGATATTTTAATCATGCTTATTTTTTTTTTAAGTTCTTAACCAAAATGCTTAAAAGTGCTGTTTTGCTTAATTTTGGCCTTACTTGTGTTTAATTGTGATACTGCCTAGCGTTAATGTGTCTAGTTAGCTTACCTATACACAAAGTTCCTTAAGATTGTATTAACTGGGGAGCTCTGGTGGCCTAGTGGCAAGAAGCTGCACTCCAATCCCCGAGGTACTCTGTTCGAATCCAGCAGATGCTCTGCTGGAGAAGGGGGGCAGTCTCCTGTACCAGTCAGATCCGATTTGATGGTACACACACACAGAAGAATAATTTTTTTTTTAAAAAAAAAGATTGTACTAACTCTCTAGAGCCTGATTACCACAGAGCAAAACCTGAGTAAAAAAATTTATGCATGAGTAGAGGAAATGTGTTCATTGTACTAGAGAGAATGAAGTAATTTGTCCAACTTTTGTTTACTTCCTTTCTTTCATTTATTTTTTGCAGTTTAGAGTGTTTATATCTTGGAGGAAATTTCATCAAAGAAATCCCACCAGAATTAGGAAATCTACCTTCTCTAAATTACTTGGTATTATGTGACAACAAAATCCAAAGTGTGCCTCCTCAACTTTCACAGTGAGTAATTTCAGGTAGTTTGTGTATGTATAGAAATCCACACATTATAGGAATTATGCCTGCATTCACTACCTGTTCTACATGTAGGAAGGAAGGAAGTCTCCTCACAGAAAAATATAAGTGAGAATTACATTTCCAAGGTTTGCTGGGAAAAAATAGAATGTTTATTAATGTAACTTTGTGATTTATTCCTCAAAATATGTGTTCAACCTATTGGCTCTAGTCAAATTAGAGCATAAATTTAGTATCAATTACGTTAATCTTATATTTTATTGTACATAAAGTCACAATGAGCCAATCAATTGAAAGATTCCTAACAATAATTATGTGCTTTCATATTTTATATGAAGCATCTTATCCTAATTAGGCTTTATAATATGACAGATACTGATTTATGCTTTCTATGAAAGAATTTTTCTTGTAGATAACCTAAATTCTAATATAAGGGGATGAAGTTCCTAAATTTTGCATTCAGAGTCTTAGTTGCACAGTAGATTCCTTTTTCCACTAACTGAAAGGTTGGCAATTTGAACCCATCACCATTTGGTGTGAGTTGAAAGTGACTTGATGATGTGTTACAACATCAGAGTACTTAAAGGCAGCTAAGATTCCATAAGGAACCCTGTTGGCTCAGCAGTTAAACGACACAGTTGCTAACTGAGAGTTTGGCAGTTTAAATCTGTTACCTACCCTGGAAGGAGAAATTTGTAATATTTTCCTTCCATAAAGATTTACAATCTTAGAAACTCTGTGGTCTCTCTTGTCCTGTAGGGTCACTGTGAGTTGTAATTGACTTGATTGCAATGGGTTTGTTTTGGTTCTTTTGGAAGATTCCATGGATACAACAAACTCATGGCATTTATAAATCTATACTGTGACCTAGTTTGTAACATCTTACTTTGCTTCCGTTGACCTTAATCTTAATGCCCATTCTTGTGGAGATATGTTGTGAGTGTCTGTGTGTGTGTGTGTGTGTGTTTCTAAAGATGGATAACTGAGGATTATACTGTTTCTTGCTGTTAATTTTTCCCCTGCATCATTCCAGGCTGCATTCACTACGTTCTCTAAGTCTTCACAATAACTTGTTGACCTACCTTCCTCGAGAGATCCTCAACCTAATTCAGTTGGAAGAGTTGAGTTTGCGAGGAAATCCACTGGTTGTTCGTTTTGTTAGAGATTTAATATATGACCCTCCAACACTCCTGGAATTAGCTGCACGGACTATTAAAACCCGAAACATTGCCTATACTCCCTATGATCTTCCTGGGAATCTTATCAGATACTTGAGTTTGGCCAGCAATTGCCCAAACCCAAAATGTGGAGGTAAGGTAATAGTAAGTTAATAATTACTAATTGCTCGTTTATACTCATTTAACTATTTTTAGGGTTTTTTCCATTTTTTTGATGATACTGTTTTAATAGCTAAGCTTTCTCTCAGAGAAAGGCATTTAGTCTCTATTTATGTTTCCTTTTTCTTAGCCTTTTACCACAAAGCAAGACATTTTACCATCTCTCGATGATTAAAAATTCAATTGTAATATACTTTGACATTCAGTGTATGACAGATACTCATAATGTCTCATCCTGTCTTGGAACTCTCATAAGAAAGTAAAATTGAGAGGCAGCACAAAGGAAGCACAAGCTACCCTACTTATTTATCTATTTTTTTAAATTATACTAGTTTATTTATAAAATTCAAATACATTATTTTCCAGAACAGATTCTTCTCATTTCCCTGACCTCCCTCCCCTCCCCTCATCAAATTGAGCTACCTTATTTATTCTTAAAAGGGCTTTACATGTTTGGACATCTTTCATATTTATTTGAGAGATATTTTCTTAAATTCATAGTTGTGTTTATCAGATGTCTTCCTTGAGAATGATTCAGAATTTTGAATAGCTTGGATAGGTATTGATGTCAAGCTCCATGATTCTAGGCTGATAATAGTTGGTAGTAGTAAGGGTTTCTGAGCAGGATGGGAAAAGTATGCTTTAGGTATCCTACAGACTCTATCAACCACTGCCTCTCATTTGCCCAGAAAACCCAGCTGAGTAAACAGTATGCTTGCTTTGCTAGCTCCTTTGAAAACAGATCACTTGATCTTCTGTTTGAAGTCACATTGCTAACCTACAGACTTGACATTTTTAAAGGCAGCTATAGAAGAAACTACGAGTTCTGCCTGAGATTCACAAAGAAGGAGCTTTCACTTTTCTCAAGAATGGTTGAGAAAAGGTTGAAAAAAACTCCGATTCTTTGATTTGTAATAGTCACCATTCCTTCTTCCCTGCAGGTGTCTACTTTGACTGCTGTGTCAGACAGATAAAATTTGTGGACTTCTGTGGGAAGTACCGCCTCCCGTTGATGCATTACTTGTGTTCCCCAGAGTGCTCTTCTCCGTGCAGTTCCGCCTCTTACAGTTCTACATCCCAGAGTGAATCTGACTCTGAAGATGAAGCGAGTGTTGCTGCCCACAGAATGCAGAAGGTCCTTCTTGGCTGAGAAGAATGTGGTGTGTTGTGAAACACTGAAAGACTGAACACAGGTGGTTAGAGAAGAAAATAGAATTTGAAGTTCACCAGAACCTCACTTCATTTTCCCCTTCAATGTCTGTCTGTGTATGTATTGGAAAGGATGTAAAATATTTTGAGTTTCATATATTCCTTCAGCAGGACCAAACCTGGGTCCACATTTACATTCTTTGGGTGTATTTTTTTTTCCTGAATGGCAGTTATAAATTTGATTGAGTGATGGCAGTTTTCACTCAAGTTCTGCATGAATCACCCAGTAGAGTGATACATTTCTAAAGAACAGTGCTATAATAAACTATCTCTTATGGTAGTTGAGATGAAGGAAATCACTATCAGAGCGGTATTTATTATTAGAGTTAACTTGGATTTAGGTTGAATATTGTACCATAAAAGAAGATTGCACCTCCCTTATATTTATTGTCCTTGTGTCTAAATGACAGTATTATTCAGATAAAGTCAAAGATGATAACATTGGACCTATATCTTCCTGATCTATTAATTTGGTAAAATAAGGGCTTTCCCTTTTGTGTGGGTTAGTAAAACTACTGTTCTGTTGTTCTTTGTGGTGGTTATGCTGATGTTGTTACACCAGCAGTGACTGTTAGTATAGTGCCTTAATCGTGCTAAAGATTTAGAATCTGAGTCAACAGATAATACGGGAGCTGCCTCAAATCTGATAGCCTATGCAGAACATTTAAAATAATGCTTTATTAGGACAAATATTTCTCTAATATCCAAACTCATGGATCCTTAGCTTAATTTTTGTTTGTTCCATCACAAAGTGAATCTAGTACAAACAAATCACTTTGGCATTTAACAGAAGTCATAATGGTCACTTGTCAACATTTAACTTTGACAATTAACAACAGTCTGTTCATCCTAAAACAAAATACTGGTTTTCAACTAGAAAAATAGAGAAAAGATGTAAAGTAGGAAAGCTCTTCTGTATTTTACATTAAGTAAGAGGAAAAAATCAAATTTAAAATTGAACAGGCACACCTATGACTCTTGTCTGTGTTTACATACTGTACTGTAACTTTCTAATATAATAGTTTAGTTTTAGCTAAACTAATAAAACCAGCCAAATAAAGTGAGGGCCAGAGTAATTTTGTTTATACATACTAGAATAGAGTTTCTAAAACTAGTTCTAATCAGGAAATACTAATTGATATTAATGTATTGATGAAATAGTAAAATGTCATTAAAGGTTTATATCTTTAGAGTAGACCAGAAAGAGTTTCATAGAGTGTTGCAACAAAGACCAAATTATTATTAAGAGGTTTACTGTGCAATACAGATTGAAAAACTGAAAGTTGGTATCATAAAATAAAACAGCACCACCCAGCAGTCATTAGATAAATCAGTGGTTTGTTGGTATATATTGTTTGTACAGTAATGCACAAGTCAGACAAATGTAAGCACATCATATAACCTGTTTCTGACTTGGGCATTCAGGACTCGGGGTGGAAGCCCATCATTTATATTGCCCCATTGCACCATTTATATGTATAGATTGTTGTATAATAATGTACTTAGTATTTTTGTCACATAATTTCTTTTTTAGAAGAATATAGCATAGACTAGTTTGAGTTTGTTTGTATGTTAATTCATGAAACATTACAGAAGTTTCATGAAGTGCAGTTGTGAACCGCTGCTAGTAAGTGAATCATTTCACTTTGTATATAATAAGATTTTTTTAATTCTCTTTATTTTTTATCTGTGGAAGTAATCTAGTATGTTTCTGATGCCTCATAGTGTATGTGAATAATTACATCATAAAATGGAAGTGATAGAAAAGTAATTCTACTTTATTTACTTCCCCAATTAAACCACAGCATGCTGCAAACCATGAAGGTCTTAACTTAGATAATGCTTTAAATGATAAACTCACAATCTTTTGGAAATAGGTGACTTAGTTAAGATACACATTTTCATAGAAAATAAATAATGTGTGCATAGTAATAAACTGGTAAGACCAAGTTTTCCTGATTTAAATGACTCTACTTACTTCCCACTTGGAAGTAAGACTGTGGCTACATAAGTGGTATCTTGGATTATCTTTAAATAGTAGCCTTTGAGGTGTTGTTTGTTGTTGTGTACTGTAGAGTCAGAACCGACCCATAGCTGACCCTCCAGCGGGTTTTCAGAGGCAGTTAATTGCACAGGAAGAGATTGCCCATCCTTCTCCTGTGGAGCAGCTGGTGGCCTCGAACCATGTGCCTTTGGGATTGCAGTGCAGCATCTTGCCACTAGGCCACCAGAGCTCAGTCTTTAGGTGTAAATATAGTACTTAACCTTATATAACCTTTATGAGCTTCCTAGACAGAAGTATGGTTGAACTTTTGTGGCTGTAGGTAGTTTCAACTAGCACATATTTTTAAAGCCTTATTCTTCATATAAGTGTATACCATAGTGGTTTTCAGTAAACTGTTCACTGTGGTTCTTTCTATGTCTGTACAATTGTAACCATCTTTGGTGAGCTTTAATGACATCTACGTTTTAGCTGTTAACATTTTTTTTTTAAAGCAATCTTGGATTTAACATTTTGCAAGAGCTGCTAATAACTTCTAACATGTTCCCTTTTTCCTTTTCCTACTTTCTCTTTTTGTAACTGATGATCATAGAAATTAACACAAGATTTGATAATATGAAAGCCAAAAACTTAGTTCCCAAAACATCAGATGTATATTAAAAATGTTAGCCTATGAACAGTATGCCTCTGGAAACTCTGTGAACTTTGATAAATGATGCTAATTATAGAAATATATCAGGCCTCGTGTTCGACTCAACGGCAGTCAACAACAACAACATGGATGAATTGCTAATGTTAACATTTAAACTATAGTTAAGAAATTTTGACTAGTTATACCTTTTTTCCTAAAGTATTTTACAAAAACTACAAAGTCATTTTCATGATGAATTAAGATTGATTTTTTTTTAAGTGCTGCAGTTGGATAAGTTTCGTGACTAAAACTTAATGTGGACCAGAAGCATTAATATATATTAAGAGTGGGATTAAATTTTCTTTTTTTTTTAATATTTGAAATTGGGGCAATAGAGTACACATCCCTAATAGTCTTTATTCCTAGAGTCTGTTTCTCTCAGTGTCATCAAACTGTGTTGATGAAATAGTCCTACAAGTTTAGGAAATAGGAAGATTAGCTAATATAGTATTTAGTTTCCAAGGTATCAAGGCTTGGCTGATCTCAGAGTAAACATGCCAGGACTCTTAGTATCACCTGTAGTTGAGTTATGGCTGTAACTCTAAAAGTGATCATTCATATTTTACTTCTAAATATGTGCCAGAGAAGTCTCTTGTTCCAAAATTCCTGCTACTTAGAACTTTTAAGTTTACCTGATTCAAAAGCTGAAACTTGCATTGTAAATTTCTCAATGAAAATTTTTGTGTTTATGTAAATAAAAAGGCAGTCCATATGAGTTGCAGAGTAATACTTCAAACCAGTTCTGTCAGAGGTTGTAAATAACAATTTTAAACAACAGGAAAGAAGGCAAAGACTGATTGCTGGATAGTAAATGAAAGAAGTCTTTAAAAGCCATGAAGGACAGGGGTAAGGTATTCCCAGAACAAGAAAAGACCAATAAAATTGTAATGATTTGTTTTAAAATTTCCTTTTTAAGGGGCCAGTGACTGTAGCAATCTGAAAGCCTCTATTGCCGAGTTCGTTAGTTTTCTATTAAGCCAACTTTGGTTGTTGCAAAGGGAGAAAGTAATCTCATTAATCTAGAATTTATGGTACAATGTGTACCATTAGGTTAATGTTTATCTTTTCTCAGTGTGGGTAGGAGAACACAACAAAAAAAACACTAAGCAAATTATTAGTACAGAAGAAGTTTGAACTTTTTAAAAATTATTATTATTTTTGTGTGTGAGTGTACCGTCAAATCAGATCTGACTGGTACAGGAGGAGATTGTCCCTCCTTCCCCAGCAGAGGATGTGGTGGATTCGAACCATGAGCCTCTGGGATTGTACTTGCAGCTCCTTGCCACTAGGCCACTAGAGCTCCCTTGAAGTTTGAACTTTTAAAGCGTTTTAGCAATAGCTGTTTATGTAATAAGCTAATGGTTATTACTTCTGTATCTTCAGAAGGCTACTTATAAACCAATGTTAACAGTTACAATGTATGTAATTAGTTATGCTGTTGCATTCATTTAGAAACAGCTCATTTTCTCCTAACCACATGCTTTTTCAAAGTAGAGATCTTATGTCAGTGTAAATATTCTAGTTAGTCCAAAAGAATAATTTTAATTTTGTCAAAGCAGCTTTTAGTTTTTACTGGGTGTACAACAGTAAGTACTTGTATATCACAGTGTTGTATAGATTTTTAAGCGTTTATGGCCTGTGATGCAAAGTTCTGGTTTCCTCTGTATTAAAAAGTACTGGGCCTTCACTATCTTTATATTAACTTCTATGGCCTATGTAACATAAATGCCTTAATAGCATCCATTTTTGTATTATTATAGTCATGATCGTTTTAATGGTAATAATACTTTCACTTGTGATTATCAAGATGTGCCTTAAGCTTGGGGGACTACAAATTGTTTATGACAGTCTTGAGACTCTTTGCATTGGACTTGAGGTAAACCCTTTTCCCTCAGTAGGGTCCAGTCTAGGACTTCTAAGAGGAGAACCCCAAACATGTACATTGTCATAGCATATCACAAGAATCACCAGTCCCCTGAAATAAAATCAGTGAAAAGAGAGATTCTCTTTATTATAAAGAAAAATTATCTCGTTCAACTGAAAGATTCAGCAGTGCCTCATTAACTGTTTGGCATCGTATATAGTTATTATAATGAGGCCTAGCACTTTTCCTACTGGTTTGTTTTGGAGTGCTATAGTGAAAAGATATGTTTTAGTAGTTTTGCATGTAACTATTTCTGTTCTTTTTATTTCTGTGAGCTCTCTGTATTGATGTAGAAAATAACAATTCATTATTAAGCTTTTTCGT